GCATCCTCGTACTCCCGCCGAACGTAATCGGCAGCCTAAGTCCGCACACCGCGTTTATTCGCCGGGATTTCATAACGATAATCCGTCCGGCAAGCAACACCGCGTCGACCAATCCGCGCCGCCGAATAGTCCGCATCGATCTACGATCGAACAGACTCGCGATACTACGAACGCACTCACCGACGAGCGCTCCGTCTCGTACCAACCGTTGCGACACGATCGCCCGCGCTTGCGCTCTCGCCGACCGCACCAGGACGCCTCACGTCATACTAAATAATTATTCCACCGTCGCCTCAAATAATTATTTCATTATTACGATACTTCGCATTGATTTTCACGTATACTTCGCATTTATTTTACGCCGCCTTAAATAATTACTTCGTCGCCGCTCGAATAATTATTTCATTTTGCCGATATCTTGCATGTATTTCCACGTGCTTTCGCTTTTGTTTTGCGCCGCTTTAAAATAATTATTTCACCATTGCTTAAATAATTATTTCGCCTTTGCCGATATCTTGCATTTATTTTCACGTTGCTTTTACTTATATTTTGCGCCGCTTTAAAATAATTATTCCACCGTTGCTCAAATAATTATTTTACCAGTAACGATACTCCGCATTTATCCACACGCTACTCTGTATTCATTTCACGCCGCTTTAAAGAACTATTTCGCTATCACTTGTTAATTGCTTCACCGATATTTGGCTAATTTGTATACTATTTCAAATTCATCTTACACACGCTTCGCATGTATGCACGAGCATTGTAGCAGATCGTTCGAGGCAAATCGTATCAACATCTTTCTCAATAAACACTGTTTCATTATTTTTCTGATAAACGAGTATTTGGTTTATTTGACATACCCCCAACCGACCGAACCTGGATTCCGGCGAGCTAATCCGCGTCCGCCGAAGCTCACACGGTTTCACCTTGTTAGGTATAACCTGAGTAGGATTTATTATTTGTTTTACGCGGGGGAGAGACTTCGCCCCGTAGGGGCAAAGTCCTCCGCCGCCTACGCGTGAAAACTTTAAACGTTACAATTAGTATTTTCTGTAATAAATATTTTATTTCAATATATTAAAATATATAAATATATATATATAAATGTATAAAAATATAAATATAATATTAAAATATTGCACAAAATATTCAAAAGAAAAATTAGTAGATTTCTTAATTGAGCACGGTGTTTTAGCGTCTACAATTTCGTGTGATACGTATGGTAATAATGTAAATATTAATAAAAAAACATTAATACATTAATACATTAATATAAAAAAATTATTATGTGTCTTCAAGCAGTGCTTGGGCCTGGTTCGTCGCAGGATGATTCTGGTTCTTCTGGCTGATATGTGGACATCGGAGGATATATTTCCGCGATAGTTTTGAAAAAAACTTCAATTCGTTCCAGCCGGCTATAGACGCGTTTGAACAGAAATTCGGACAAATATCCAATAAAATGTTCGGATCTTGTTCCAAACTTTGGAATATTTCCCTGAACTTCTCTCCAAACGCGTTCTATATGTTGAGTATGTGCGCCTATAAATTAAAAAACATTATAATAGTAAACAGTAATAGTAACAGTTAAAATAGTAAAAATACATTAATTTTAAATACTTCTTACCGGTTTCAGGATCGACAAAGTTGTAAGAATGGTTGACTGTCAGATGTTGGAAGCCCTCATTGCTTAAACAATTGTAAGACTTCCAACAATCTGACACAACCGTTGTTCCTGGCATGATCCACTGTTTGATGCATGCCAGGAGCGTTTTTTCTGTCCGATCTTCCACTGGAACGATAAAGATTTTCTTTGTATCTCGCTTGTATCCTCCGAAAATCCACTGACCTTTGATCAATCGACCACGATTGTATTTTCGCCGTCCAAATTTTGCTTCGTCTATTTCTACTGTGCGTCCTGAGCCACCAAGCTTTTCGCTGTGTTTCTCAGCCCAGAACACACAGACCTGTAATCAGAAATAAGATTATTTTATTTTACAATACTTAAAATATTTACAGATGTTTAATTATTAAAAAATATTACTTCTCGGCAAAAATTAAACCAATCAACAATCGTGGCCGATGATGTACCAGTTTCATCCTGCGTATCGTCTTGACGTGGGTGTCGCAGCATTAAAAAACATGCAACAATTTTGCAAACGTGGGTACGTCAAGATTTGTTCTATTGAACCATGTTCCAGATTTCGCACTTTTGTAAAATTTGCACTGCTTGGAGACACGTTTTTTGTATATATTCTGTACAACGTACCGTTTTCTACATCTATATATTAATGTTTCTTTATTAATATTTATATCATTACCACACGTATAACACGAAATTGTAGACGCTAAAACACCGTGTTCAATTAAGAAATCTACTAATTTTTCTTTTGAATATATCAAGTGACCAAATTCTAGTAAGCTTAGCATTGCTCGTGTACTGTTTACGCTTTTTGTATAACACGCAATAACTAATACAATTTTTTTGTTCAAATTTAGCGCAGAGCGACACTAAGTTATTATTACGCATGCGCGCGTGACCGCAGCGCATGCCCATGTCGCTACGCTCAGTCAGAATGACAGGTTTTGTAACCTAAAAAGTCATCAACTTTAACAATTAATATCTCGCTTCGCAGGGCAGAGCGACTTTTTTTTTCTGCCAGATTCTTTCGTTTTAGACCAAAACGCGTCTAATGAGTCTATTTTTATCAAAATCGGAGGTGAGGTAGCTATTTTAAATAATTACCGAAAAATATGAAAACAAATACAAAAAAATATATTTTCAAAACCATAGACTAGTACAAAGTTCTATTATCGCTGCAAGAATCGCCCTCATCACACGCCTCCAAACCCCCAAATGCCTATCAGCAATCAAGCGCGCCTCGGGCCCTTCCGTAGACACGCCCGTGAACTGGGCTTCTATCTCCCTTTGCAAAATTCTCAGCAAATTTGCCAAGTGACGCCTGTCACTATCCGTGATAGGTTCATAAAATACTGATAAAGCCTCGAGCTCGTGCGGAGCGTATTCTTCGGCGTCTTCCTGGTATCGCGATAGATCAATTATCCAGCGAAAAACTCGCCTAGAATCACTCTCCACGTCTAAGGCAATAAGTATCAGTTCCATCCTCTGTTCCATAATTTTGATAATCTGAAATCAGTCAAAAACGGATTAGTAATGCCTCTAGATTAAATTTACCTGAAAATAAAACAAATTATTAAAAATTATAAAAATCCAAAAATTTAAAATTTTTAAATTTTTAAAACTTTTTATTGTCAAAATAATCTCACGACTTAAGCGAACTTTACAGACCCAATTCAAAACAGTTATCTCTAAACGTTCCCGATTTATAGCAAACTCAAAATTTTTTATAAAACATATTTCGCATATTCGATCTGGATTAAGGTTAATAATGTTTATATTACACTGCTACGACATCCCGTTCACAAGATATCAACAATTTTGAAAAATTACTATGCGTTAAAATAAACTATAAAAAATAATAATAATAATGGTAAAAGTCAAAAAGTTTAATAACTTACCGTTTCGAAGTTATTAAAAGACAAAAAAATAAATTCCAGCACTATTCCTTCTCTTGTCTAATAACTTTTACTTAGCTGCCCTCTAGGTACCAACCTCACTAAATTAAGACTGACAAGTGCTTGCCAAGAAAAATAATTTTAATTTTGATATTTTAAACTTAATCTTATGGATTTGATAAAACAAACTAATAATTAAAATATCTTAAGCTATAAACTTAACCAATTAAATAATAAACGGAAAATAGATAGTTAGGCTGATATTACATGTGTCGTACGACAAACTTGTCGGACGTTCCGATTGGCTGCAGATAAAATCCAAGTGGGGGACTTCCGTCGGACAGTTACGAAATTTTTGTCGGAAAAATGTTGGACTAGAATGAACATTTTACGACAGTCGTAACAATCCTAACTTATGTGTACAAATCGAAAATGTGACCGGTGCAAACTATATAAAAATATTCTAAAATTTCCTTAAAAAATGGAAGTAAGAGATAATGTAAGTACATCATATTTTTGATTTATAAAAATAATAATTATTATTATTTGATATGTAAATGTATGAAATACTAAACCAAACAGTATGATATAATAATAAAATAATAAAGTTAACAAATAATATGATATAATAATACATAATAATTATTTATAGTTGGATATTCCACGGAAATGTATTACTTGTAAAAATACTAATTGACCAAGGGAATGTAGACAAACATGCCTGTTTTCTAATTATCAATTTATTGTGTGGATGAAAATGGATATTTATGTCCACAACTT